AAACCAAATAACCTATACTACAGTAACGAAACAAAACACAGAATTAAATCCAATAACCTATACTACAGTAACGAAAACAAAACACAGTATTGAATCCAATAACCTATACTACAGTAACGAAAACAAAACACGGTATTAAATCCAATAACCTATACTACAGTAACGAAAACAAAACACAGAATTAAATCCAATAACCTATACTACAGTAACGAAAACAAAACACAGTATTAAATCCAATAACCTATACTACAGTAACGAAAACAAAACACAGTATTGAATCCAATAACCTATACTAAAGAACATTCGAGAAAATTTGATAAAAAATATAAAAAAGTCTTATTTGAGATTAATATCATTCCAAATCACTAAAACAAAAAAACACTCGGCAAACAATATTTTTGGAAGTCTGGCCGAAAAACGAGATGCAGATAAACAGTGGAGACTTATTAGTGACGTATTTACCTTCCTCGTTATGGTTGAGGAGAATAAATAAGACTGATAACGTATCGTGTCCGTATCGTGTCCGTATTGTAACAGAACTATATATAATTATAATCATACGTGTTTTGTTTTTGTTACAAAGAAACTTGTATAAAACATGATTTTTTAAATTGGGCTCAAATATTTTATGGAGAACTGTTAACCGTATAATTATTGGAATTTATACCTGTATGAGAAAAGTCAACTAAACAGAATGGTGAATTAATTGGAATGATTAAAAAAAAAACTGTTTTTAATAATGTTCACATCCAAGACAGTTTTATTTTGATATTTCTCACGTTATATATACTGTGATTATAATGGTGATTATTGATAAACACCCCCCCCCCCCCAGTGGCACAGCGGTATGTCTGGGTTTCGATACCCGTTGTGGGCAGAGCACAGGTAAGCCCATTGTGTAGCTTTGTGCTTAATTACAAACAATATTGATAAACTAGATCGTTATTTAAAGCATGGTGGTTAGGGGGCGCTCGAGTCGCAATCTGAAGGTCGTGGGTTCGAATCCCCGTCCCACCAAACATGCTCGCCCTTTCAGCCGTGGGGGCGTTAAAAAATGTGTCGGTGGTGATGACTAGCTGCCTTCCCTCTAATCTTTCACTTCTAACTTAGAGACGGCTAGTGCAGTTTAGCCCTCGTGTAGCTTTTCAAACGAAACCGTTATTTAAAGATAGCCTCCATTTTAAACAGGTGTGAATGTGTAACAACACTTATACGGTTATATCTAATAAAATAATGCATGGATATGATTTTTCTCTTGTAAAAACTATTTTCCGTTAAGTTTTTAAAAACCCTGCTTGGTTGTTTTAATAAAATAATATCCAGGAACCTATCTTTACAACGTGTTGTGTAATCTGTCCACGAGGTGTCTAATCGGGATTCTCTGAAAGAATGTCGTCAGGCCTTTTTTTTTTTGTGTCTTCCTGCTTCATTTATAACCGAACGCTCACTCAATAAGATGATGAGTTGCGTCAGAATTGTTAAGTAAAGCTGATTGGCTAACGCTTGTCCTAGCCTTCTCTCTATTGGAAGTTCAACTTCCGCGAAAACTTATGATATAATATCGGGCCTATCACCCCCCGGGGATCACAGGCGAGGATGAAAAGAAGATAAAAAAGGGGCGGGAGATTGGAGGGGTATACGGCTTGAGCTGATTGGGAGAAACTGGGTTTTGTGTCGTAGACGCCCAGCATACTAAACGTGGTTCTCGTGCTGACGAAATCAAATATATATATATATATAAGCAGTGACGTGCCAGAGTTCACTCACATTGGAAACTTGGAAACCACCGAATATCTTGGTTGTCTAGTGTGATCTGTTGTGTCGAATATAAATTCGTTTTGTTTTTTTTACTAAAAAGAATTGAATCTTGTAAAAGATCAGGTTAAACAGATTCTGAAACTTGCGAATCTGAACGTTTTATTATTTATAGCTTTAATTAAATCCATCATTTTCATCTTAACAAAGAGTCTCAAGTGATCTTTCCATACCAGGAGACATTTATCCAAGTCTTTGAAGGTAAGTTTAAATCCTGCAATTGTTTCTATTAGATTTTCGCGCTAAACTACACGAGGACAGTATATATATATGTATAGGGATGGCCGCTAGTCAAACAGCACGAGGACAGTATATATATATGTATAGGGATGGCCGCTAGTCAAACAGCATCTGCCGCCAACTCTAGGGGCTACTTCTCGTCTGAGCGAATGGTGGGATGTGACCGCTACCCTTGTGGCACATACATGGCCTGCCCCCCCCCCCCCCAGTGGCACAGCGGTATGTCTGCGGACTTCCAACTCTAGAATCCGGGTTTCGATACCCGTGGTGGGCAGAGCACAGATAGCCCATTGTGTAGCTTTGTGCTTAATTACAAAACAAACATACATGGCCCTAAAGTGCGTCAACGAGCATCAAACCACGAATCCACAGTTTAAGTATACTAACCACTAGGTTACGTCCGGCTATTTACAGACAGGCACGGTTGTAAAACATCTCTGATTTCAGGTGTTTAGTTTTGTAGCCAACGAGGTGAACTAATAATACACGTGTGTTTAAAAATATTCACTAGTTGTCCAAAGCCTTGAAATACGTTAATGTGCGTACTAGTTGTTAGAGAATGTGCTAAATTAGAACACTTAACGCTGCTGCACCCCCGTGGGACAGCGGTAAGTCCACGGACTTACAACGCTTAAATCCGGGATTCGATCCCCCCTGTGGACACAACAGATGACCCATTCTGTCTTCTTTTTTAAACAAAACAGACCCACTTTTGTCCCCCACCCCCAGTTGGGACAGTGTAAGACTACGGACTTACAACGCTTAAATCCGGGATTCGATCCCCCCCTGTGGACACAACAGATGACCCATTCTGTCTTCTTTTTTAAACAAAACAGACCCACTTTTGTCCCCCCCCCCCAGTTGGGACAGTGTAAGACTACGGACATACAACGCTAAAATTCGGGGTTCGATTCCTCGCGGCGGACACAGCAGATGGCCTAATGTGTCTTTTTTTCTGATAAACAACAAAAGAAAAAAACCTTTTAACACTTTCAGATAAACCAATCGGAAGTGTCAAGTGATTCGTTGTTCTTTACTTTTTTTATGCTAGTCATTCGTTGTTCTTTACTTTTTTTATGCTAGTCGACTTTAAAAAAAAAGTCACATCTTAATGTATTCATATTATCGTAAATGGACCTAAATTAAATAAAAAAAATATCCACGTTATCGTTAGGCGTTAACTAAGACGCGAAAAACTGGTAGACTCTAAAATTGATCAGTCAAACTATATTTACTGATTTTGTGATGTTTTTTTTTCTCACGATTTTAAAGTACATTTAAGTATCGAGCTTGAAATGAAGTTAACTTATTTAAACCTTCACAATAATATTAATGTATTTATTGACTACATTTTGTTACAGCAGAGGACTTTTATACACCTTGTACTTACACGGCTAACCGCTAGGTGGATCTGCTGTTCTCTAAGCTCTTAAAATTTAGTTACCTTTTTTGTTAATTGTTAACTTTCACAATAATATTAATGTATTATTGACTACATTTTGTTACAGCAGAGGGCTTTTATACACCTTGTACTTACACGGCTAACCGCTAGGTGGATCTGCAGTTCTCTAAGCTCTTAAAATGTTAGTTACCTTTTTTGTTAATTGTTAACTTTCACAATAATATTAATGTATTTATTGACTACATTTTGTTGCAGCAGAGGACCTCTATATATCTTGTACTTACACGCCTATCCGCTAGGTGGATCTGGTGTTTCACGCAGCCAACTTGATTAAAATGTTTATCACATTCCGCCTGATAACAGTTCTGGTTGTTTTACCCTTTGTCCTGAGCTGGCACCTGGACTTTACCAAGGAAAAAGGGGCCTCAGCCTCAGGGGTAAGTGACTGTAAATCACCAGTGTTCATTTCTATCAGCCAAGTTAATTGAAAATTCCTCATATCAGACTAGGTGCATCAGTTTTAACTGAATATTTTGCTGTTATAGAACAAGTTAATCTGATTTTTTGTTATTGTATCTCGTTTCCTGGTAAAAACGTGGTTTGAAATTGATAATATATATATATATATATAAGCTCACTTTTCTTAATTATAATTAAATTTGACATTTTGTAAAATAATCAGATTAAAAAAAAACCCTATATATCTCACGAGTTCTTTTGTGTAGGATTGTTTGTAAAAAGGAATGTTTATATTTAATTCTTCAAATAAATGTGCTTGCCTACTTCAGGATTTCTGTCTGTTCCTCTGTTTCTATGTCCACGCAACGATACATATTGTTCTTAATGTAGCCTGATTGAATGTTGCCCTGTTGTATACATAGTGTTCTTACAGTAGCCTGATTGAATGTTGCCCTGTTGTATACATATTGTTCTTACTGTAGCCTGATTGAATGTTGCCCTGTTGTATACATATTGTTCTTACTGTAGCCTGATTGAATGTTGCCCTGTTGTTTTTCTTCTTCTTACAATCACTTTTCAATCTACCGCCATTTCTTCATTTCTCGGTGGATTGACTTGAAACTTGGTAGAGTTATACCGTGGTACGATATGTCCAGACAACTTTTGGTAGACTTATATCTTGGTACAATACGTCCAGACAACTTTTGGTAAAGTTATGCCTTGGTATAATACGTCCAGACAACTTTTGGTAAAGTTATACCTTGGTACAATACGTCCAGACAACTTTTGGTAAAGTTACATCTTGGTACAATACGTCCAGACAACTTTTGGTAAAGTTATACCTTGGTATAATACGTCCAGACAACTTTTGGTAGAGTTATACCTTGGTACAATACGTCCAGACAACTTTTGGTAAAGTTATACCTTGGTATAATACGTCCAGACAATTTTTGGTAGACTTATATCTTGGTACAATACGTCCAGACAACTTTTGGTAAAGTTATACCTTGGTATAATACGTCCAGACAATTTTTGGTAGACTTATATCTTGGTACAATACGTCCAGACAACTTTTGGTAAAGTTATACCTTGGTATAATACGTCCAGACAATTTTTGGTAGAGTTATACCGTGGTACGATACGTCCAGACAACTTTTGGTAAAGTTACACCTTGGTACAATACGTCCAGACAACTTTTGGTAGAGTTATACCTTGGTACAATACGTCCAGACAACTTTTGGTAGAGTTATACCTTGGTACAATACGTCCAGACGACTTTTGGTAAAGTTATACCTTGGTACAATACGTCCAGACAACTTTTTAATTTTTTGATCTAGGCCTTTTTAAGGATATTATGGGGTCAGAAGTCAAACAAACCAAAAAATGTATATTTTTTGGACTCCTGTGTGGTCATATTTACAGCAATCAAGATGCAAGTTGGCACAAGTATAAATTTTCATCTGCCCAACACATTGATCCATTTTCAGTCTTTTTAGGAAGGTCAAAGCTAAAAAAAAATAGAAAGTATTATTTTTGGGTGCTTGGTAAATTACTCGGCCATCTTTTACCAATTTAAATGGTATTCAATGCAAAGATACTTTTCTACACATTGACAAATAAAAATGGTGGATTTGACCACCACAAAAAGTATAATTTTAGTTTTTTTTTTTTTTGTACAATTACCCCCCCTGTATTTCGGTCAATTTACAGATCACATACATATAAGTACAGTGCCCGGCATGGCCAGGTGGATAAGGCGCTA